AGCTTTCACTTTCAGTCTTCTTTGGCATTTGGAATTCTTTAGAAGCTTTTTTTTCCTTCCCTCCTTGAACTGATAGATTCATTTAAATCTTCATTTCATTCTTTTGGCATACGTGTTTGCTTCTATGATGCTTTATTTGGCTTTGTGTTCTTCCTTGAACTGATGGATTCGATTGTAAAAACATGTAAACCAAGTGGAGCAGGATGACAAGAAGAGGCAGGAAATGGTGGTGTTTCCTCCGGTTGACAAGCAAATCCTCAAGCGTCACGTCGGAACTCTGATGCACGACTTTGCTGCGTCGATCCTCATGGCTTTTGAAAGCCGAGTTCTTCTTGCGGAGCGACGCTCACAACTCCAATGGACTCACACGTCTCGCTCAAGGTGATTGAAAGTATTTTCTTGCTTGATCTATGAGAAAGGAATGAAATGCGATCATTGACTCTTCGAAGGTTAGCAAAGCCAAACGGCGGAGGCTGGAGCGTGTCCAGAAGACAATGGGAGATTACAGTCTACTAGCTGGCTCTCCTGCCGATGCTATCTCGCATTACAACACCGCTATGGAGTTGTCAAGGCACACTGGTGATTCGCTTTGGAATGCTGGCGAGATCGAAGGCAGCATTTGCGCTCTTGTCGTAAGATCTCAAGTTCTTCTCGCCATCTTTCATCTTTGTTTCTGATATATGAAGCTTGCAGGTAACCCCGGGTGTTGAATCAGACATACTTCTCGAGGATGAGGTGCGATATAAATACTACGAAGCAATTCATCTATACAGGCGGTTCGAAACTCAACACAATTCTCACTTTGTCTTTCTTTCGTTTTCAGTTGTTCTGCGTATATATTCGAAGTTGAGGCACAGCTGAAAATGGCTCGCTTCCTCTGCCGTAAAAGCTTACGGATTTTCTAGGAACAGATTTTGCCTTTGGTGCATAGAAGGAAACGAGCTGTCGAGAGAAGTCTGCGAGCTTCTCAGCAACGCCGTGGAAGTCGGAAGAAACTTAACCAATGTCAACGACCAGGCTGTACTGTTCGTGGAGGTTGCTTGCATTTTCGGAACTCCTGTCTACGAGTGGAAGTCTGCGTTCTTCCCCCGTCAAGTAGCCCATTACTATCAATCGCAAGAATCCACCAAGCCTGCTGCACTGGAGCTTCTCTCGCTCGTTGCAGATCCTACGGCGTGCGACTACGTAAACAAGTCTTCGATCAAGGTATCTCTCCTGTACTTATGTGTCTAACTCGTGTGTGTTCTTTCTTCCTACTCTCCAGGAGGAGAACAAGAGAAGCTCGGAGATGGCCGAGGAGAAGAGAGTGACCAAAGCAACAATCTGCGCTATGATTCCTGGGTGGCAATTGCACTCCGACGACGATCTTCTAATTTTTATGGAATACAGGAAATCCTCTACTCTCATAAGCCAAGAGGACAAGGCAAGATCTTTGCTGTCATTTGAGGACCACAACGCCCCATCCGACGGCGCCGATTGACCAGATGACAATCGTAAAAAGTTCCCAAGGAACTTGAACCTGAGACCTCCTCTTAGCTGGTTTTAGGGTTGGACTGTGCGAGAGTTCATGCTTTGCAGCTGAGCAAAGTAAGTTTCTTATAGCTGTAAATAGTTTTTTTACTAATTTCTCATATATCTTAAGAAAGAAATCGATGTTCTCAATTTCCCACCGAGCCAGTACAATCAAAACGTTTTTAAGGCCAACAATCCCTTTGTGGTGGTACACGAGGTGTCCCCCCGTTTTATGCGAGCAATGGCCGGTGACAAAATTGGGGATGGCAAATCCATGGACCCGGCTGCTTTGCGTGCTGCCATGGAAGAGATTATCGACGCATCTCTTGATGCTGCAATGTAAGTGATGTTTGCATTCGGATCATGCGTTTCAAGTTCGATTTTATGCAGTTCTTACGAGCAGCCGACCACTGAAGTTGGCGGACGCATCGTTCACGGAGCTTTGACTCTCGACCTTTACAAACTGACCAAACCAGCATCTCCACTGCCGATTGATACACCGGGTGCAGTTGCTGCGGCTGCTACATCGGGGGCTACTGCCTCGGGGGCTTCTACATCGGATGAAAGTGCTGATGAGATTGAACCCGGAGAGACAGAGGAGGAAGAGGATTTCGAAGGCATCTCAGTTCTGGTTGAGGTAACATTCCATGCTGTTTAGTTTTATTTACAACTCTCTTTTGCAGCACGTAGATGTGGATGAGAGGGCTTCAACAACGAGCTCCAATGAGGAGATTGAGCTCCATCATGAGGGAGACGATCCCGAAGATGTCACTGGCAAGGACAAAACGACGTATGAGTTTAAACTCCTGGTTCACGATCGACGAATCGCTGGCGACACTGGTGACAATCAGGTTACAGCTTTGGTTGTAGAATGTACGTGGGTAAGTGCTGGCCCTTGCCTTGCCTGAGCTAACGTCTCTGTTTCGTAAGGACTCGGCTACCAAAAATAAGATCTATCAGGCGGCAGCTTATGTTTCAAAAAAGGATGGAATTGCGAATATGAAGAAGGGCCGATTTGCACCAATATTTCTGCAAGCTTGGGGCAGAGATAATTGGATGTATGGAGCGTTTTTTCTTTTCGGCTACATCCAAGTGAAGAATAACCAGGTTGTGCGAGTGCGGAGGTAAGTGTTTTATGTGTTTTCCTTTTAGTTTGGTTGTTGACAATTTAATTTTGATGCAGTACCAAAGGAGGCAAAAACTTTAAAAGAATGCTTCGAGTAGGAACTACCTTCCTACGGGAGCAGTCCAAGGATTTGTATACTACATATCCAGATGGAGAGTACGTCCATGGGATGCTCTATGTGCCTCGCAAGCTGTTTAAGATGCCGGATGTCTCAGTTGGCGGCTCTGGAGGCACCGACCACAGCAAGCTGTTCTTCCAGAGCTTGATCCGAATCATTGCTGGAGATGGTGCTCTCGCTTGGACCGAGAAGGACGTTCATGACATTATCGGCGTCAGAAACAAGGCCAAAGCCGATCTCAAAGCTGCATTTTTTGGCAGCCCTTGACACTGATAAGCTGCCTGTAAGTTCTGGTCCTGACTACGTCCACCCCTGTCGGCTCAAGGTCCAGGAAGACACTCCGAGGGACATGCTTTCCAGTCAACGTGTTGAAAGCATCGTTTCCACCTCCAACAGTTTTGTCGCTCGCCATCTGCTGCAAAAAATCCATGAAAGAAACCGGTTAGTCGTACAGTTTTCTAAGCTAATAGCTTCTATAAGCTATCAAAGAAAAGAACAAAAAAAAAAAAAAAAAAAAAACAGAGAGGAGTGTTCTAGAAGTCATCGAGTTTTCTAGCTCACAAAGGTAAAAAATCAAAAAAGAAAAAAAAAAGGATGTCTTGATCTTCTCAAGGAGTAGGATGGCATAGTTTTAGGATCTAGGGTTCTGCAATCTAATGTTTACAGGCGGCGATTCTTCGGGGGACAAGCAAGTTCCCAGCCAATACAACCACAATGATTTTGTTGCAAACAATCCATTCGTTCGAGTGGTCGAGGAATTGCCGTTTCCTATTGTTTGCGACAAAATCGGGGACAACAGATCCATGGACCCGGGTGCTTTGCGTGCTGCCATGGGAGAGATTATCGACGCATCACTGGACGCTGCAGTGTAAGTCTCCATAATTCCATTGAGTTCATGCGAACGATTCCCTTGTGCAGTTCTTACAAAGAGCCTGGAAAGATCATGGTGCATGGAGCGTTAACGCTGGACCTTTACAAGATCACAAAACCGGATTCTATTCCGAGGGTTTCTCTAACACCTAGTCAAGTTCTTGAAATGAATGTGGATGGTGAAAGTCGAACACCAAGGTTAGCAGGAGGCGACGATGATCATCTTGAGAGCGTACTAGTTAACGCGGAAGTAAGTCTTTGCAATGTTTTCCAGGTTTTCCTTGATCCATGGAATGCTTTTGCAGCACGTAAATGATATTGATAACTCTAATGAAACTCAAACCAAGCATGGCTTCCAGGTCTTGGTTCGTGACCGACGAGTTGAAACATTGGACAATCTGGTTACCGTTTTGATAGTCGAATGTACATGGGTAAGCCTTGTACTTGGAATGGTTAGCATGCTATTGGTTTGTTCTTTAACCAGGACACTGCTACCAAAAATGAGATCTATCAAGCTGGAGCTTATATTTCCAATAAGGAGGGCATTGCAAATATGAGAAGGGGTCGTTTTGCTCCAATATTTCTGCAGGCTTGGGGCAACAACAACTGGATATATGGCGTGTATTTTCTTTTTGGCATCGTCAAAGTGGAGAACAATCGAGTTGTGAAAGTGTGGAGGTGAGTATAATGTTTCTTTTCGCTAATCAAAGTTGCGATTTTGTTTTTTCATTGGCAGTCATAGCAGGGGCGATGAGAACTTCGACAAAATGCTCAAGGATGGCACTGGTTTCCTGCGGAAACATTCCAAGGACTCGTATGCTATGTATCCAGACGGGGAGTATGTCCATGGGATGCTCTACGTGCCCCGCAAGGAGTTTACGCTGCCGGATGTGAGAGTTCCTGGATCTGGTTCTAGCGATCATACCAAGCTCTTCTTCCAGAGCTTGATCCGAATCGTTGCTGGAGATGGTGCTCTCGCTTTGACCGAGAAGGACGTTCGTGACATAATCGATGCCAGGAAAAAATCCGTAGATGATCTCAAAGCTGCATTTTTTGAGGAGTAGAATTGATAGGCTACTTCGATACAACTTTATACTTCAGGTTTTTCAAAGTTGAATGATAAAATTTATACATAGAATTATTTAATTAGTTTGGTCTGTAACGTTAATATTAATAATATAACATAAAATGTCCATTTAGGAAATGTTTACAAACCTTAAAATTTGTAAATGTGAATGTGGAAAGGATACAGAAAATGTACATAAATATATTATTGTAATAAATTTTAATCAATAATAACAAGAATATATAATTTAATTGAATTAATTTTAGTGTAGTAATCAAAATGACAAAGTCGGGTGTTCGAATCCGGCAACAGGTAGGATCAAGCTTTGCATCTTTTGGGCGATGGAGCCGGACGTGTGCATCGAGAATGGATGCAAGATCCGTGTGGTGGTGGTCGGCGTTGGATCGATGCCTCTCCATCGCCTCCGCGACTACACGGAGATGGTGACCCAGCACGCCCGGATCGAGCTCCAAGCCACCAGCAGCTTCTACAAGGAGGACCAGAAGAGCCCATTTGGTCTCCAGCCCTGGGAGAATGGATGCCTGCGCTTCCAATTCGTGATTGGCAGGGCGAATCGAAGCCAGTGGGAGGATTTCCAGGCGCATCGCAAGGTCCATGGCTGCATTGGCGTGCTCCATTGCCCCGATGTGGCGGATCTGGACGCCGCGTATGAGAAATTCGTGGAGATTTGCAACGAGTACCCGGCCGCGCAAACGAGGAGGTGCTTTGCCTTCTCTCCCACCCAAGAACAGGTATTTGCTCCTATTCCCTTCCTTACAGCATTTGCCCAGAAGCGGCATTTTGGTGTTCTTCCTTTCTCTCTTTGTTTTCTCTTCCTTTACTTTGTCTTTGGGGTGGCTAGAACATACATTTCTTTCTAGCAGGCTTTACGAGCTCTCTCTTTTGGTTTGTGGGATTTGCTTGTTCTAGAAGGCTTTTGGCATACCAAAGTGTTTGCTTTCACTCTTTCTGGCATTTAGATTTCTTAGAACTTTTCTTTTCTGTCGTAGGCTTTGCTGTTGTTCTTCCTTGAACTGATGGATTCATTTAATCTCCATTTCATTTTTTTGGCATACCGAAGGGTTTCTTTCACTCTTTTGGCATTTAGAGTTCTTAGGAGTTTTCTTTGGCTTTGCTTTGTTCTTCTTTGAACTGATGGATTCGATCGTGAAAACTTTTAAATCAGGTGGAGCAGGATGACAAGAAGAGGCAGCAGATGGTGCTGTTTCCTCCGGTTGACAAGCAAATGCTCAAGCATCACGTCGGAACTCTGATGCACGACTTTGCAGCATCGATCCTCATGGCTTTTGAAAGCCGAGTTCTTCTCGCGGAGCCCATGGGAGCGACGCTCACAACGCCAATGGACTCACACGTCTCGCTCAGCTCCGAAGAGGTGGGTGAAAGTTTTTTCTTGCTTGATCTATGGAAAAGAATGAAATGCTGATTGTTGGATCATCGACTCTTCGAAGGTTAGCAAAGCCAAACGGCGGAGGCTGGAGCGTGTCCAGAAGACAATGGGAGATTACAGTCTACTCGCTGGCTCTCCTGCCGATGCTATCTCGCATTACAACACCGCTATGGAGTTGTCAAGGCACACTGGTGATTCGCTTTGGAATGCTGGCGAGATCGAAGGCAGCATTTGCGCTCTTGTCGTAAGATCTCAAGTTCTTCTCGCCATCTTTCATCTTTGTTTCTGATATATGAAGCTTGCAGGTAACCCCGGGTGTTGAATCAGACATACTTCTTGAGGATGAGGTGCGATATAAATACTACGAAGCCATTCAGCTATACAGGCGGTATGTATCACTCGAAACTCGACACAATTCTCACTTTGTCTTTCTTCTTTTTCAGTTGTTCTGCATATATATTCGAAGTCGAGGCACAACTGAAACTGGCTCGCTTCCTCTGCCGGTAAAACCTTATGGATTTTCTAGGAACTAAAGGGAGACAAGATTTTGCCTTTGGTGCGCAGAAGGGAGCGTGGAAACGAGCTGTCGAGAGAAGTCTGCGAGCTTCTCAGCAACGCCGTGGAAGTCGGAAGAAACTTAACCGATGTCAACGACCAGGTTGTGTTGTTCGTGGAGGTGGCTCGCATTTTTGGGACTCTTGGTTACGAGCGAAAGTCTGCGTTCTTCTCCCGTCAAGTAGCCCATTACTATCAATCGCAAGAAACCACCAAGGCTGCAAACAGCGCACTGCAGCTTCTCTTGCTCGCTGCCAGATCCTACGGCGTGGAATACGTAAACAAGTCTTCGATCAAGGTAAGCTTTTAGTTCTTCTCGGAGAAACACTTTCAAAGTTTTCGAAGTTTTATTCCTATCCTTGTGTGTTCTCACTTGTGGTTTTTTCTTCTTGTAGCAAAAGGAGCCTGATCAAAGCGATTCATGCGAGACGTCACCAGAGGTAGTGTCAGGGGATTGGAACGCTCTGCAAATTAATGTGCTGGGTGATGTGTTAGCGGCCGCTGTCCGAGCAGGCGATCCATTACTTGCCTGGAGTGCTGGAGCGAGACTGTTGAGATATCACTACCCATACATCACACCTTTCGCTCAGGCCAGCTTGGTTGCCGCGCTCGTCAGTGCTTCTGCAAGGCTACCCCCTGGAACTCGCTGCTCAGTCCCTTCTCTCCCGTTTATAAGGTACAGAGCTCGTTGTTTTCGTAGCATCTCTAAGAGAGTTCTTTTCACCAGGTTGCTCTCGCTACCTTCGTGTCCATCGCAGCCACAAACAGAGATCATCCGGAAAGTTGCTGGAAAGAAAGAGTGGTGGATTGAATCCACGGCCTCGACTGGTCCTTTTATCTACACTCCAATGTCAGCCACGGCGAGCAAAGCAAACAACACGGCCAGTGGCAACAGCAGCGGTAGCAGCAAGGATACTATCACTTGGGTGGTGGACGAGATGGTGGAAGTTCTCGTCGCTGTGGCAAACCCGTCTACGTTCCAAGTTACTGCCGAGTCCATAGCGCTCTCGGTCGATGGTGCTGCTTTCGAGGCTTCGCCAGTGTCACTCACACTGCCTCCCAACACATCGCAGATTCTAACTCTATCGGGAGTTCCGAGAGAAACAGGCAGTGTTACGGTACGGGGATGCTTTGTCAACTTCACTGGCGTGGTGACCGAGCATCTCTTTGAGGAAGTGGAAGAAATGGTGGCTCTGGCGGCCAAAGGCTCGACTTTGGTGGATCCCTTTCGAGGTGAACATCACAGGGACAAGTTTACACCAGCCGGGAGCATTCCGGTGGCACCACCGTTGCCTTTACTATCTGCTCACATCGTCGGCGGCGATGGAGACATAGTTATGCACGAAGGAGAAAGCCGTGAAGTCGAGATCGCGCTCGCCAATGCCGGGAGTGTGGCCGTTTTGCAAGCCAGCTTGAGCGTCAGCACGAAGCAAAAGGAGCATTCCATTCGTATCAACCACGAAGCTCTCGAGGCAGCACTCCCTCTAGCTCCAGGCGCTCGCGTTTTGGTCCCAGTGGAGATTCGAGCTGGTCTTGAAACAAATCCAGAGAACAATCGCGGAGTTCATCCACTTGTTCTCGTTCACTACGCAGGCAAGTTTTGTTCTCTTTCGCAAGAGCTTGTAGTACAAAGTTCTTATACTTCCTCTACTTCCAGGTCCAGAGAGCGATGATTCTACACCCCTAGGAAGGCAGCTCGCTCTTCCTTTGCAACTACACGTAAAAAAAGGACTCTCTTTGGTGCAAGCTCGTCTACTTTCCATGGAAGTTCCAGCTTTAGTCAACAGCACCGAAGAAAGATCACCACCACTGAGGATCGATCCTTACAGAGGATGCTGGAGTTTACAATTCTTGGAGCTGGAGCTATGGAATCCCGCTGAGGTTCCATTCGAGATACAGGTTAGTGTGGGTGACGAGAAGGAAGATGGAGGCTACAAAAGCAGCAGCCGGATTGATTGCAAGTGTAGCTCTCGCGTTCTCATACCTTTCGACAAGCTCGGGATCACTGGAAGCTCTGAAAGAGATGAGATCAAACCAGGGGAAGTCTCGACGAGCATCAACCAGGTGAAGTTCAGGTGGCAGTGGGGACGAAACAGCGTTGGCGAGCTCCAAGTTGCGGATGCCATTCGAGCAGCGGTCCAGGAGTCCATGTCACAGATTCTAGCGTCCAATCCTCTCACGTTTAACTTCCGGCTGGCGAGCGAGCAGAACAATGGCCAGCGCTCGGTAGAGGCTTGCGAGCTCACTCCAGTCGAGATGATCGTGACCAACAACACGAAAGATGAGATCTCCATGGAGCTGAGCGTCACTTGCCTGGACGTGACTTCGTCTAGTTGCCTAAATTCGGTAATGTGGTCTGGTAAGTTGGCACTTCCTCCTCGGTTTTGGTTGGACTGATCGTCGATCTTCTCGAGCAGGAAGCATGAGTGGGATTGAAGCCAGCATCAGTGCTTCGCAAGGCCAACACATTCACTCGTTCGAGCTGTGCTTTCTCGTTCCAGGTGAGTACAGTCTAGTCGGTGTTGCTCAAGTAAACTCTGTTGGAAAGAAGCAACAACACAAAAGCCAGTGTTACAGCAGTCCTCCATTCACAATTCATGTGAGTTAAGCACTGCTTGCTGCTTGCTTGCTTGCATGCTGGAGGAAAGAAACGAAAGAAAAACTGGATTTTTTTGTTCTTCTTGCGTTAAACGCTTACGAGTCTTGGGTCAGTGCCAGTCCTTTCTGATGTTAAATGTGTAGTCCAGCTCCAGATAACATCTCTTGTCGTCATCTAGGAACTGTTTTGATCGAGTGAGAGTGAGTGAGAGCGATTGCGAAGTTTCGGGATCTCATTCATACCTTTGTCTTTGCCGAGTAAGAACCGCGAGCTAGAATCCCACAGGGTGTTGTCTCCTCGTCAGTGAAGTGAGTGTAAGGCTCTGCCCGGGGTCCAAAAGTTCCTAGCATTGTTCGAGTGTGATCCACTGTAAAAATCGCGTTTTGCTAAGTTTTAAGACGGGGAAAGATCTGAAAGAGCCAGCTTTGAGCTTTGTGCGTACCTCGAAGGCCATTCTTCCAGACAGTGTTCACGTACGTGAGGCCTGAGACGATGTTGTGACTGACAACGAAGGTGAAACAAAGCCGATAGCTCGAGCCTTCCTTGAGAGTGAACGCATGGCTCTTGGAAGCGAAGGGGAGCGAGAGTTTTAAGTGTGGACGGCCCTCGGCCTCGATTCCCAGCGTCAGGACTTTCACGGCCGGCTCCATCTCGCCACCAGCAACACCTGTTTGAAGGAAAAAAATGGATTTTTGTGGAGAATTCGATCGAGGCTACAAACCATCCATGTCGAGGAGGAGATTCTTGTCAAGACCAAGGAGCTGTTCCTTCCACCTCCGCAAGCTTTCGTCCTCCTGGATGATTTGCTTCGTTAGCTCTTGGGGATGGAGGAAAAGCTTCGCTTACCTTGTCGAGCTCGAGGTGTTGCTTGAGTGAGATGATCGGGCCCAAGTTACTCGTCCCTCCTCCATCTTCTTCCTCGTCTTCTATCTCTCCTCCCACTTCTTCTTCTTCTTCCTCTTCGATGGAGTCCAAGTCGGAGTCGATGGACTCGGTGGTGTCGGAGAGCTGCCGCGTAGAAGCCATCGCAAACTCGTCGCTCTGGATGGACGAGGAGGACGATGAGGAGGAGGAGGAACAAGAGGAGGAAGAACTTGGCGGTGGAGTGGAGGCGGCGGAAGCTACATTGCCGCTGGAGGAGCTCGGTGGTGATGGCGGTGCTGCTGCCGCCAGGGCGACGAGAGACATGATCAGGGAAGAGCGAGAGAACAGTCTTCTTGGGAGAAACCCACGAATCCTTACGGCCGTTTGGCAAGACCCAAGTGAAGAACAATGCAGCTAAGAGCGCCAGGCTCCAGTGCCACTCGCCATCATCAAAGCCTTCCCTCGCTCGACTCGACCCAGGAAAGGAAAAAAAAACTAGGAGAGAGAAAATAAACTCACACACTTGGAGCCATTGAGTAGTACTACATGATCCAACTTTAAGGTCCTGGCTATGGTGTTCTTGCTTTGGGTTTTTTTCTCTTTTTTTTTCTTTTTTGCCGTTCTTCCTCCTAGCAAGCGGAGACAAAAGAAGAGATTGCAACTGAGAGCAACTCTTCGGAAAGAAAGAAGAGAAAGTAAACGAAGGAAAACAATTTCGCTGCAGTGGACAAACAAGAGATCACAAATGAGAGTGATTGAAGCTGCAACAGCAGCAACCTTGCTTGACTGCTGCTCAAAAAAAAAAGGAGAGAAAAAAAACCTGAAAAAACTGGGCATTTATGCACGAAAAAGTCGTTTTTGCTTGGCCCGTGACTGACTCATGAACCAAAAAAAAATCCTTTTTTTCTCTCCACTTTTCTTCCTTCTTTCTCGCAGCAGTGTCACACAGACTGGCCGGCCAGCCATCAATTAACACGACACTCTTATAGTTGCGTACGAACTTTACTCGTGAAATTCTTCCTCCTGATATCACACTCCGTTTGATCCGGATTTGGAAGCTTAACTTTTCACGGGACTAGTTGTTTGCATTGAATCAATCAATATCGTAATCGCAATCCATTAAAACAGCGAGCTCTCGATTTCTGTCCTTCCACCAGCGAAAGATCACCTCTCATTTCCTCGGGAAAGAGAAAAGAGACTCTGTTCTCCCAACTTTTTGTTATCAAAACAATAGCGAAGGAAATGCTTCCAAAAATGCCCTCAAAGGGCATAGCACTTCTTTATTATGAAGATAATAAAGAATTTCAACAAGAAACTTACCAGTATGGCCACCTTGTTATCAGACAAGAGAAAAGTTCTTCTAAAACAAAGAACTTACCAGTATGCCCCTCAACATTGGGCAGGGCCAACACACTGTTATCAAGACAAAAGTGAAGTTCTTCTCAGGCAAAAAACCTACCAGCATTGCAGAAGAAAGTTAAGAAAAACGCCCCCAATGGGCACTGGGCAGGGCCAACACTGGTATAGAGAAGGAAGTTCTTAAGACTTACTTAAGAATGCCCATTGAGGGCATTGGGCACACTGTTATAGAAGTTCTTCTAAAACACCACCAAGCAAAAAAGTTACCCTCAATAGCCCAACACATTGTTATCAAGAAAGTTCTTCTAAAACAAAGCACTTATGAACTTTGGTAAGTTCATAACTTAAGAACTAATTAGGCAGTATGTTGGCCTAATTGTGGGAGGGTACATTCCAATGCCAAAACCAAATTGAGCCATAGCACACTGTTATCAAGACAATAGAGAAAATGCCCTCAATGGAGAAAGGAGTTCTAAAACAAAACAAAAAAAATTAAAACTTTATCAGTATGCCCACAATGGGCATTGGGCAGGGCCAACACACTGTAATAAAGAAAGCAATTCTTCCAAGGGCCATCAAGACAATGGAGTTTTAAAACAAAGAAAGAATGTGCTGTTATCACCTAAAGAGAAAGTTCTACAAAGACTTGCCAGTATGCCCTCAATGGGCAGGGAATGAAAGAGAGAGAGAGAGAGAGAGAGAGTAGAGGTTAGGGCAAAGAGAGAATGGCGCTACTTAGGCGAGGGTCTCTCCAGCTCCAGCGCGGCCTTGGGCCACCGGCGGCATGGTGGAGATTACGCGCGGCCATGGCGACGGCGGCGGCCCCGGCGCCAGAGCAGGCAAGTCTCGAGGACGCATTTGGATACAAGATCAAGCCCTGCTCGCTCGCACTGCCGCCAGACTCCATGATCCGCTACGTGGAGCCCCATCCGGGCGGATTCCGGGGCCTGATGCTCAAGGTTCTTGGATTCTACAGCAAAGAGAGCACGCGAATTCGTGGAGCCAAGCGGCTGTATGCGCGGATCACTAGCCAGGTCGAGAATCCGGAGCTCTATTCCAGTAAGTTGGTTTGATTTGCTTGTTGTTTGGTTGTTCTTTGCTCGTTCTTGACAGATTTTTTTTTGTTCTTCTTTCTTTCCAGGCTTTGGACTTGAGAAGAAGTTCCGGACTGTCCACGCGATGCTTTTGCTGCACGTCTGGATGGTTCTTGTGAGGCTCCGGAATGAAGAGAAGGGAGCGAACATCGGGCAGACGATGTACGAGGTTTTCAATCTGGATTTGGAGCAAAGGATTTACAAAGAAGGGGTGCGTGAATACTTTTCTTTCTCGCATTCTTTCTAAAAGATGGAATTTTGCTCTCGTTTCGCAGGTAAAGATGACAATGATAATCACCAAGTGGCTCAAGGAACTCGAGAAGAACTTCTATGGAGCCTCTGTAGCTTATGACAAAGCTCTAAGCGGATCTTCCATGAAAGAAGATTTGGAGCGTGCTCTTTGGAGGTATGCCAGTTCTTAGATGTTCAAGAACTTTGTTATTAACTCTTTTTCCACGACACAGAAATGTGTTTGCCGAAGACGACTCTCCAATGCCAAAATCCGGTCCTCAACTGGCTAACGTGCAGGTCGAGTAGCGAGATCAAGTTTTATCTTCTCGAGTTCTAATGTCTCTCGCGATCTTTCAGGCTTTTGCGAGATATGTCCGCAGGGAACTTGCGTGCTTGGTAATAACCGGTGAGAGTTTCGCTCCTCGCTAGAAACCATTCGTCTGACACCGCTTTTCTTCTCGCAGAATCCGAGGACTTTAGGACCGGCAACATTCGTTTCTCCACAGAATTCGAGGCTCTAAAAGAAGACCACTAATTTCAAGTACGTTTTCTTAGAATCTGAGAATCTGCATGGATCGGCTGAAAGAATGTGCTTGGTTTAAAGCTTTTTGCGGCTGGCTTAACATAAAATGGGAGGCGGTGTTTTTCCAGTATATAAATCAAGGCTCGTAAACCTCTCTTCGTCCTCCAGCCTCCAGCTTTTCGAGAGCGTCAATGGGTGCTCCAGAAGTTCTTCCCAGCGACAGCAACGACGACAACAAGATGGTTCTCTGCGGCTGCTATTCCTTCTCGATCGCCAAGAAGAAGGATCACGACTGTGATCTCAAGGCTCTGATCCAGGAGGGGAAGAAGATGAACAAGGGAGATCACAGCCATGATCTCCAGGCGAAGAACAAGCCATCGACACCAGCATTCCCAGCAGCACCCTCAGCACCGATCATCGTTCCATACTTCCAGTCGTCTTCCAGATTGTTTCTCGCGTAACTTCTTCCAGCTCGAGAGAGATCGAGCGAGTTTTCCATCTTTGTTTCCAATGCGGCTTCTAGAACAATTTTGTGAGTGAGAGTGAGTTCCAATAAAAAAAATACAAAAAATTCGGTTTTTCTTTTTTCATCCTCGCTCTAGCCTGTGGAAAAAGTAGGACTTTACTTGCACGCCAAGAAAAAAACCAGATAGGAACTTACTTAAAAATTTCTTGGACAGATTTGACAATCTCCGTGGAGTTAGTCTCCACAACTTGGCCTCCCATCACTATTTCATCAAGAACAGTGTTTACCTGGAAGTGGTAAAAAAAAGAGTAAGATCACAAACAGAGAAAAAATGGATGATCACACCTTGTTGAAGTTAAATACAATGTCGAGTTCACAGACGTTCTTAAAGATGCTATCCAAAGTCTCCACAAAAACTATAGTTTTTCCGAGTGAATGAAACGGGATCTTCGAAGTAACAAAGTGTTACCTTGTATAAGATCGAGAATTCCCAGCTCGCTCTCTCCACTATCGATCACAAACACGAAATAGAGCGTCGCGAAATGCTTGTAAACTAGCTTCGTCCTCTGTCCAAGATCTTAGCTCTCCCTTCAAAAGAAAATAAAGGAGGAGAGAAATGAAAACTTACAGCTCCAAAGATCTCATCCGCCTCGACAAAGTTACAAAAATGCTCCGCTCTGCTAGACAAACCTTCCCAAGAAAAACCATCACAAACCTCCAAGGCACGCTAAAGAAAATCTTACCAGAGTAGACCTTCCTCACAATCTCTTGCTGCTTCACTGGACTCTAAAAATTCCATCGATCGATCAGCAAGCGCTAGAAAAAACCAAATCCTACCAGCGATTTGTAAAACTTGGCGAGCCGCGGCTTCCCCTGCGTGTTCATCACGAGCACGGCATCAATCATCGCTCTTGTCTGCCCTAATTTGCCCCTTTGCCCTAAATATCAACGGTCATGGGTTCGAATCTTGGGAACTTCCAATGCCGGCTGACAGTTCAGCCGGCCTTCCACTTCAGCTGAACATGGCGGTTATTTGACGGCGGTTAAAATCGTGACGCTGGGCGCGGGGGATTCTTAGCGCCATTCTCCCGATCACAAAACCATAGAAAAACGCCTCTTCCAAAAGCGCGAGGAGGAAGAAAAGAGCGCGCGACCAAAAAGAGAAGGAGAAGAAGAGAGAGCGAAGAGTTCTCACAATGAGAGAGTGTATTTCCATCCACATTGGACAGGCGGGGATCCAGATTGGAAACGCTTGCTGGGAGCTCTTTTGCCTCGAGCACGGAATCCAGGTCAATCCTGTCAAAATCTCGGTCCACGGATGCTGACTCCTCGTGTTCTTGATTTCCTTGCAGCCGGATGGGCAAATGCCGAGCGACAAGACTGTTGGTGGCGGTGACGACGCTTTCAACACTTTTTTCAGCGAGACCGGAGCTGGGAAGCACGTCCCGCGGAGCGTTTTTCTAGATCTGGAGCCGACCGTGGTGGACGAAGTTAGAACTGGGACTTACAGGCAACTCTTCCATCCCGAGCAGCTTATCAGCGGCAAGGAAGACGCGGCAAACAATTTCGCGAGGGGTCATTACACAAGTAAGAGCACTGGAGAACTTTTGGATCAACCTTTCACAACTGGTGATTGATTTCGTTTCTTCTTTGTTGCGTGATTGTCTCTCGCAGTTGGGAAGGAGATTGTCGATCTTTGCCTAGACCGGATACGAAAGCTGGCGGACAATTGCACTGGGCTTCAAGGGTTTATGGTTTTCAACGCAACTGGAGGTGGAACCGGATCCGGGCTGGGTTCTCTTTTGCTGGAGCGGCTCTCGGTGGATTACGGGAAGAAGTCCAAGCTTGCTTTCACGGTTTATCCCTCGCCGCAAGTCTCCACGGCCGTGGTAGAGCCATACAACAGCGTTTTGTCGACGCATTCTCTGCTAGAACACACCGACGTCGCCGTGATGCTTGACAACGAGGCCATTTATGACATTTGTAGAAGATCGCTGGACATCGAGCGTCCGACATACACAAACTTGAACAGGCTCGTCTCTCAAGTAAGTTTTCCATTGTCAAAGTATATGATCATATCGTGGTTTTCTTGTATAGGTGATATCATCCTTGACGGCCTCGCTTCGATTTGATGGCGCTCTCAACGTCGATCTCACCGAGTTCCAGACGAATCTGGTGCCGTATCCTCGGATCCACTTCATGCTCTCGTCCTATGCTCCAGTCATCTCCGCCGAGAAAGCTTACCACGAGCAGCTCTCAGTGTCCGAGATCACAAACACAATTTTCGAGCCGGCTTCCATGATGGCCAAGTGTGATCCACGGCACGGGAAGTACATGGCCTGCTGCCTCATGTACCGAGGGGACGTGGTTCCAAAGGACGTAAACTCGGCCGTGGGAACGATCAAAACCAAGAGGACGATCCAATTCGTGGACTGGTGCCCCACGGGATTCAAGTGCGGGATCAACTATCAGCCCCCGACAGTGGTTCCGGGAGGTGATCTGGCCAAGGTCCAGCGCGCGGTGTGCATGATCTCAAACTCGACGAGCGTGCCGGAGGTGTTCTCGCGGCTGGATCACAAATTCGACCTCATGTACGCAAAGAGAGCGTTTGTCCACTGGTACGTCGGAGAGGGGATGGAGGAAGGAGAATTCTCGGAAGCTCGAGAGGATCTGGCCGCGCTAGAGAAGGATTACGAGGAAGTTGGGGCGGACTCCACCGAGGGAGAGGGCGAAGACGAGGGCGAGGAGTATTAGAGTGGTAAAGACGAAGCCCCTTCCCGCTGGCTTTTCCTGTTTAAATTCAAACGCGGGGATATTCTATGTTCTTTGGGCGGGAACTTCTTTTGCTAGGGCTTAGGGTTCCTCGGTGGCTATGCCGGCTGACAGTTCATGGGACAGTTCGCGGTTGTCGGCTGAAAGGGGCGGTTACTGCGTGATCCCCCCCCCGCGCCAAACAGCTCCCTGCCAGGTAAGTATAAAAAGCGAGCCGCGAGCGCGACGAGCTTTTAGGGAGATCTCGTTTGCTCTTTTTCGATCCATCGCCCGTCGATCAAGAGCTTCCGTTCTTGTTTTCCTGCTTTAGATTCCAGCATTCTTTAGTGCATCAGCTGCTAGAGAAAGCATAGAATCATGAGAGAGTGCATTTCGATCCACATTGGGCAAGCTGGAATCCAGATTGGGAATGCTTGCTGGGAGCTTTTCTGTCTAGAGCATGGCATCCAGGTTGATTGCAATCCATCTTTTCTGTTGTTTTTCCTCCCTTTTTTCGTCTCTCTCTCGTTTATTTTTCTCCCTGACAAAATGAAGTGTTTTCGGGCTTTAGCTTTTTTCTCTGCAATTGTTTTCTTTGCAGTTTTGTGTGAGATGTTTCGTTTTTCTTTCAACGTTTTATGTTCCCTCGCTCTTTCTACTCGTTTTTTTTCTTGAGAAGATGACTATTTTCCCTTCCAGTTTCTTTCCTCGCTTCGAACACTTGTATCTTATCTCTCTGCTTCTTTTGTTTACCTTTGTGCTTGAGAAAACTTCGAAAGCTATTAGCTTATAGAGCTGTACATCATGGAGGTGACTAACCGGTTTCTTTTATGGACGTTTGCAGCCCGATGGACAGATGCCGAGCGACAAAACTGTTGGAGGTGGAGACGATGCTTTCAACACGTTCTTCAGCGAGACTGGAGCGGGAAAGCACGTCCCTCGGAGTGTTTTCCTGGACCTTGAGCCGACAGTGGTGGACGAAGTCAGGACTGGAACTTACAGGCAGCTTTTCCACCCCGAGCAACTTATCAGTGGCAAGGAAGACGCCGCAAACAACTTTGCTAGAGGTCATTACACAAGTAAGATTGCACACATCTTCTTTGAAATCAAGTTCTTATGGTTGTGTCTTCTGTGCCTCGCAGTTGGAAAAGAGATAGTCGATCTTTGCCTTGACCGGATACGAAAACTTGCTGACAACTGTACTGGTCTTCAAGGATTCATGGTCTTCAATGCTGTCGGTGGTGGAACCGGCTCGGGTCTGGGCTCTCTTTTGCTCGAGAGGCTGTCAGTAGATTACGGGAAGAAGTCAAAGCTCGCGTTTACAGTGTATCCTTCTCCACAAGTCTCCACGGCCGTGGTGGAGCCATACAACAGCGTTTTGTCAACACACTCGCTGCTGGAACACACCGATGTTGCCGTGATGCTCGACAACGAAGCCATCTATGATATCTGCAGAAGATCACTCGACATCGAGCGTCCTACGTACACGAACTTGAACAGGCTCGTCTCGCAAGTAAGTAGCTACACTCTTTTTCCTCGATTGCTGAAAGTCATTTTAAGAAGTAGAATCTAGTTTTACGACGATTTTCTCGGCTTCTTTTCGGCTTGATGTTTGTTCATACGTAAGTCTCATTTGGTCTGCTTCTTATTGCAGGTGATCTCATCCCTCACAGCTTCACTCCGCTTTGACGGGGCTCTCAACGTCGATCTCACCGAGTTCCAGACCAACTTAGTCCCTTATCCTCGCATTCACTTCATGCTCTCCTCCTACGCTCCGGTCATCTCCGCCGAGAAAGCTTACCACGAGCAGCTCTCAGTGTCCGAGATCACAAACACAACCTTCGAGCCGGCTTCGATGATGACGAAGTGTGATCCGCGGCACGGGAAATACATGGCCTGCTGCCTCATGTATCGAGGAGACGTGGTTCCAAAGGACGTAAACTCGGCCGTGGGAACCATCAAAACGAAGAGGACGATCCAGTTCGTGGACTGGTGTCCGACCGGATTCAAGTGTGGGATCAACTATCAGCCCCCGACAGTGGTTCCAGGAGGAGATTTGGCAAAGGTCCAGCGCGCGGTATGCATGATCTCAAACTCGACAAGCGTCGGAGAGGTTTTCTCGCGGCTGGATCACAAGTTTGATCTCATGTACGCAAAGAGAGCGTTTGTCCACTGGTACGTCGGAGAGGGGATGGAGGAAGGAGAATTCTCGGAAGCTCGAGAGGATCTGGCCGCGCTAGAGAAGGATTACGAGGAAGTTGGGGCGGACTCCACCGAGGGAGAGGGCGAAGACGAGGGCGAGGAGTATTAGAGTGGTAAAGACGAAGCCCCTTCCCGCTGGCTTTTCCTGTTTAAATTCAAACGCGGGGATATTCTATGTTCTTTGGGCGGGAACTTCTTTTGCTAGGGCTTAGGGTTCCTCGGTGGCTATGCCGGCTGACAGTTCATGGGACAGTTCGCGGTTGTCGGCTGAAAGGGGCGGTTACTGCGTGATCCCCCCCCCGCGCCAAACAGCTCCCTGCCAGGTAAGTATAAAAAGCGAGCCGCGAGCGCGACGAGCTTTTAGGGAGATCTCGTTTGCTCTTTTTCGATCCATCGCCCGTCGATCAAGAGCTTCCGTTCTTGTTTTCCTGCTTTAGATTCCAGCATTCTTTAGTGCATCAGCTGCTAGAGAAAGCATAGAATCATGAGAGAGTGCATTTCGATCCACATTGGGCAAGCTGGAATCCAGATTGGGAATGCTTGCTGGGAGCTTTTCTGTCTAGAGCATGGCATCCAGGTTGATTGCGATCCATCTTTTCTGTTGTTTTTCCTCCCTTTTTTCGTCTCTCTCTCGTTTATTTTTCTCCCTGACAAAATGAAGTGTTTTCGGGCTTTAGCTTTTTTCTCTGCAATTGTTTTCTTTGCAGTTTTGTGTGAGATGTTTCGTTTTTCTTTCAACGTTTTATGTTCCCTCGCTCTTTCTACTCGTTTTTTTTCTTGAGAAGATGACTATTTTCCCTTCCAGTTTCTTTCCTCGCTTCGAACACTTGTATCTTATCTCTCTGCTTCTTTTGTTTACCTTTGTGCTTGAGAAAACTTCGAAAGCTATTAGCTTATAGAGCTGTACATCATGGAGGTGACTAACCGGTTTCTTTTATGGACGTTTGCAGCCCGATGGACAGATGCCGAGCGACAAAACTGTTGGAGGTGGAGACGATGCTTTCAACACGTTCTTCAGCGAGACTGGAGCGGGAAAGCACGTCCCTCGGAGTGTTTTCCTGGACCTTGAGCCGACAGTGGTGGACGAAGTCAGGACTGGAACTTACAGGCAGCTTTTCCACCCCGAGCAACTTATCAGTGGCAAGGAAGACGCCGCAAACAACTTTGCTAGAGGTCATTACACAAGTAAGATTGCACACATCTTCTTTGAAATCAAGTTCTTATGGTTGTGTCTTCTGTGCCTCGCAGTTGGAAAAGAGATAGTCGATCTTTGCCTTGACCGGATACGAAAACTTGCTGACAACTGTACTGGTCTTCAAGGATTCATGGTCTTCAATGCTGTCGGTGGTGGAACCGGCTCGGGTCTGGGCTCTCTTTTGCTCGAGAGGCTGTCAGTAGATTACGGGAAGAAGTCAAAGCTCGCGTTTACAGTGTATCCTTCTCCACAAGTCTCCACGGCCGTGGTGGAGCCATACAACAGCGTTTTGTCAACACACTCGCTGCTGGAACACACCGATGTTGCCGTGATGCTCGACAACGAAGCCATCTATGATATCTGCAGAAGATCACTCGACATCGAGCGTCCTACGTACACGAACTTGAACAGGCTCGTCTCGCAAGTAAGTAGCTACACTCTTTTTCCTCGATTGCTGAAAGTCATTTTAAGAAGTAGAATCTAGTTTTACGACGATTTTCTCGGCTTCTTTTCGGCTTGATGTTTGTTCATACGTAAGTCTCATTTGGTCTGCTTCTTATTGCAGGTGATCTCATCCCTCACAGCTTCACTCCGCTTTGACGGGGCTCTCAACGTCGATCTCACCGAGTTCCAGACCAACTTAGTCCCTTATCCTCGCATTCACTTCATGCTCTCCTCCTACGCTCCGGTCATCTCCGCCGAGAAAGCTTACCACGAGCAGCTCTCAGTGTCCGAGATCACAAACACAACCTTCGAGCCGGCTTCGATGATGACGAAGTGTGATCCGCGGCACGGGAAATACATGGCCTGCTGCCTCATGTATCGAGGAGACGTGGTTCCAAAGGACGTAAACTCGGCCGTGGGAACCATCAAAACGAAGAGGACGATCCAGTTCGTGGACTGGTGTCCGACCGGATTCAAGTGTGGGATCAACTATCAGCCCCCGACAGTGGTTCCAGGAGGAGATTTGGCAAAGGTCCAGCGCGCGGTATGCATGATCTCAAACTCGACAAGCGTCGGAGAGGTTTTCTCGCGGCTGGATCACAAGTTTGATCTCATGTACGCAAAGCGAGCGTTCGTTCACTGGTACGTCGGAGAGGGGATGGAGGAGGGAGAATTCTCAGAGGCTCGCGAGGATCTGGCGGCGCTAGAGAAGGATTACGAGGAAGTCGGGGCGGACTCGACCGAGGGAGAGGGCGAAGACGAGGGCGAGGAGTATTAACCGGCCTCCCGCTGATTTTTAAAAGTTTGAATTCACATATATTGTTTTTCAAATTTTAAGAAGATTCGTTTAGGGCGATGCCGATTCTTTTCTTCGGCCCCGGCTCGATTCCAGTGAGCCCGGTTTTAGAGATTTTTAGGGTTCTAGCGCTGGAGGAAGGTCGCCGGGCGCTGGCGCCGTGGAATGTAAGCCGGAGCTGGGATCGCCGCATTGGTATTATGCTAGATCGCCGCGCAGGTGATCGGTAGATCCACGCAATGGCGCTCAACATGAAGAGCCTGACGCAGGCGCTTGCCAAGACCGCCGCGGTGATCGAGAAGCACGTCCAGAGCACCGTCCAGGAGGTGACCGGGCCCAAGCCGCTCCAGGATTACGAGCTGGTTGAGCAGATCGGGTCGGGAGGTCCGGCCCTTGCGTGGAAGCTCTACTCGGGACGGCCAAGGAACAAGGCCGAGCACGCTCACAATCCTGAGGTCTGTGTGTGGGTTCTAGATAAGAAGCTCTTGTCGGAGACGAGGCAGAGGATTGGAATCACCAAGGCGGCAGAGGATGCGTTTCTAGAGGTTGTGAGGGCTGATGCGGGGCAGATGCTCAAATTGAGGCATCCGGGAGTTCTTCGAGTGGTCCAGGCGCTGGACGAGAGCAAGACGGCAATGGCGATGGTGACGGAACCAATCTTTGCGGCGGTCGCGAATGTTCTTGGCAACTTGGAAAACGTTTCAAAGACACCTAAAGAGCTCAGAGGCTTGGTACGTATGCTGTTTCTTCTATAAGTGAAAAAGAGTAAATCTTCTTTGCAGGAGCTTGGGCTCTTGGAGATCAAACACGGACTGCTCCAGCTAACGGAAACTCTGAGTTTCTTGCACAACAATGCGCAGCTTGTTCACAGAGCCATATCACCCGAGGTAGGCTGTGCATCACAGCAGCTTCTCATCAATTAATTCGGTTTTCTTCCGCAGTCAGTTTTTATCACATCCAGTGGATCCTGGAAGTTCGGCGGGTTTGGATTCGCAGCGACTGTAGAACAAACTGCTGCTGAAGCTGGGGCGGGAGCATCTTTTCTCTATCCAGTACGTGTAACTCATACCAGTTTGCGTGAGAAGTGCTCATTGAGTATCCGTGTCTTCAGGAGTATGATGTGGACGAAGTTGTGATGCCTCTGCAACCACCATTGAATTATACCGCGCCAGAGCTAACGCGAAGTAATGGGAACCCGGGATCATGTTCTGACATTTTCAGTTTGGGATGCCTTATATACCATCTCCTGTCTCGTGAACCTTTGGTGCTGTGCAAGAACAATCTAAGAGCGGTAAGGCCTCCAAGCATTGGCAGGTGATGTGAATGTCTAATCCATATGCTCTGCAGTACAAGGCCAAGGTACAGTATCTGGCTAGTGCAAGCTTTTCAAAGATTCCTCCCGAGCTTGTACATGATTTGAAACGTATGCTGAGCCCGGCAGAGCTTTCCAGACCAACTGCCTCAGAATTCACTGGTACGCGTAGGTTTTTCTTGATAACCGTGATACCGATTTTTTCTCTCTGTTATTCATCAAGGTTCCCCATTCTTCCGAGAAGATACAAGACTGAGAGCACTAAGATTTTTGGATCATATGCTTGTAAGTTACTGCTACTGTTTCGAAGAAATAACCAACTGGGATGGTTATAGGAACGAGACAACATCCAGAAATCTGACTTCTTAAAAGCGCTTTCAGGCATGTGGACGGAATTCGATCCTCGTGTGCTCCGTTACAAGGTTTGCAGTCATACCCACGTGCGAATCCATGTTTTACTAACAGTTTGTAAGCCAGGTATTGCCGCCGCTTTGTTTGGAGCTGAGAAATGTGGTCATGCTTCCGATGGTGCTGCCAATGGTTCTTACAATTGCCGAGTCTCAGGTCTGTTTCCTTTTTTTTTTCCTATGTTGTAAAAGTATATATATCGAGTTCACCTAGGGAGCTTAGTATACTGCTGCAGGAAAAGGCTGATTTTGAATCCTCGACTCTTCCAGCATTGCTCCCTGTCTTGAGCTCAGCAACTGGCGAATCTCTTTTATTGCTGGTTAAACATGCTGCGTTATTGATAAATAAGGTACAAGGTACTCTTGTGCACTTTTAAAGGTCTTTTGCCTTAAGCTTGTTCTTTTCACTTGTTCCAGGTTACCTCAGAACATCTATCGACGAGTGTTGTTCCAATGCTCGTTCGGGCATACGATGATCCAGATGCGAGGATGCAAGAGGAAGTGTTAAAACGTACAATTGGCATTGCGAAACAAATAGATTATCAGGTGGGTGTGTCAGCATCTCTTCTGGTAACCTCGTCACACTGGCTTGCAGATTCTTAAGCAGTCGATCTTACCCAGAATACACGGCCTGGCTTTGAAGACAACAATAGCTGCGGTAAGACTTTATGGTTTCTTTGAATTTTTCTTTTTCACACCGTGTTCCTTTCTGCAGGTTCGCGTAAATGCACTTTTGTGTCTGGGTGAGCTTGTCCCTCGACTGGATAAAAACTCATTCAAAGAAGTTTTACAAACATTGCAACGATGTACCGCTGTGGATCATTCTGCTCCAACTCTAATGTGCACCCTGGGGGTTGCCGATGCCAGTTACAAACAAGTACTGTCTTGTTTCTTGCAAAGTTTACTGGACTCACTGCCTTGTCACAGTTTGGCGTGGAATTTGCTGCCGAACATTTGTTACCACTCTTGACACCACTATTGACGGCTCAACAGCTCAATCTCCAGCAATTCACGAAGTACATGCAGTTTGTGAAAGAAATATTGAGGTTCGCCAATCATTTCAATGCTATTCTAGGGACCCGCAGTTGATAACAAGCTTCCTTTTCGGCAGGGAAATTGAAGAGAAGCGGGGACTCAAGGATGGCGAGGCAGCCAAAGAAGGGATCAGTATGAACGGAGGGCCCGCGTCAACCAAGGGAAACAGCTGGGACGCGGACTACTGGAGCTCGGGAGTTTCCAAAACGCAGGCGATTTCTTCGGCCACAAAATCTGAGCAAGTTGCCGCCATCTTCTCTTCCGCGACAACAACACCAGCAGAGAGTTCCATTTTCTCATCCACGACAAAGCCAGAGAAGCCTGTCTCGCCAGACTTTTCTACTCCAAATGCCAGGCCTCTCAACGAGAGAACTCCGACGCCAACAATTTCAGGGGGCATGCCTCTGGACTGGGAGTGGCCACCGAAAGCAGGCACAGGCACGGTTGGAGCTAGCACCACTCAAAGCTTCTCGTCCGGGGCACCAGACGTGAGCAGTTCCTTTGGAGACGATTTCGATCCATTCGCAGATTGGCCTCCGCGAAACAGCTCTGGCAACGCGGTATACGGAGTGGCTTCCTCCCTGAGCAGCAGCAGCAGCATCAGCAGCATCAGCATCAACAACAACAAGAATCACAACAACAACGGCATTGCTACCAAGCTGGACGATTTCTTCTCGTCGCCAGGCCAGTCTCAGCCGCCACTCAAGCTCGCGCCACCGCCACCTCCAGCAGCATCGTCAGGGATGAGGGGCCGAGGAAGGAGTTCTCATTCTCTTCGCGGCGGCATTGGTGCTAACTCGAGAGCCTCGTTGAAGCAGCAACAGGATTTGTTGCAATAGCAGGTCGCTTCTTTGAAACTTGCGGAAAAAGTTTGACCTGTTTGTCCAAGAACTAAGAACCCTAAAAACAGAGATCAACGGTGAGGATTTGCCATGTGCTACACTATATAATGTTAACTTCTCCGCTTCTAGGTTTAGGTCGGCGCTTGGAAGGTGGCGCGGCAGGGCCAGTGCATCCAAGGTATGATCGCGCCGCGTTTTCGCTACTCCTTCTCGTGCCGCGTTTTCGCTACCAGGCAATGGCGACATCCGAAGAGAAGCCCGAGGAGGAGGCTCCTCCTGTTCCCGGTCCCGACGAGATCGTGGTGCTTATCCAGTACACGGAGAAAGATCTCACATTCGCTCATCTGGCCAAGAAGAGTGCGAAGGCTCATGATGTGATTGCTGCTTGTGCAGTCAAGGCTGCGAACATGATCTCAGCGGCTACTGGCATTGACCGGAAGGACCTCACACTGTACCCACCAGGTATGTAGTCCTTGCGAGATCACACACATTGGTAACTTCATTTTTCTATTGTTTTTTTCAGCTTTCCTCAATGCGGACAGGACTGTGAGCCAGTGGGCTGCGATTGCCCGTCCTCCTACTCTCATTGTTTCAACGTTGAAGAAGAAGGGCCTTGTTGCCCAGAAGGAGAGTCTCAGCAAGCAGTACAATGCTTCTCTTGATTTTGTGACCTCGCAGCTCAAGAATGCAGAGGACGCAAAGAAGGATGTAGAGGACGCAAAGAAGGATCTGGAGGGCAAGTTAGAGACCAAAAACAGGCAGCTGGCCACTCAGCTGCAAACTAAGAACAGGCAGCTGGCCGAGAAGACCACACACGTCAACAATCTCGAGAACCGGGTCGAGCAACTTCGTCAGGACTTTCAAGCAGCCATGAGCCAGCAAACCCGCGAGATCCAAGCTTTGAGGGTGGATAGCCAGGTTTTGACCCGGAAGGTTGAGGTTCTGACCCAGCAGAATGAGGTTCTGACCCGGAAGGTTGAGGTTCTGACCCGGAAGGTTGAGGTTCTGACCGAGCAGAATGAGGAGCTCAAGCAGCAGAGCTTACTGCTCTCTACAGTGACTCAGCAGGGCAGGGCTCTTGCTGATGCAAATCAGGTTCTCACAAATGAGAACCAGGCAACACGTGCTGAGGTGGCAGCCTTGATGAGCAGGGTGAACAAGCTGGAGACATACATCTATGGTGCTGATCGTGTCCTTCAGTAGCGGTTCTTTGGGCTAGAGGTGGGTTGGCTAGACCGTTTATTTCTTTTTGGGCAGTGGCAGATAAACGGTGGGACTTTTGATGATGTAAATTTCGATCGATCGCGAGTTTAATCTTTTGGTTGTGCAAAAGTAATCTCCTTTCTCCAGCATCTCCGCCAGCTGCTTCTCGCCCTCGTACACGTTGGGGATGCTGAAGACGATGTTGTCCCGAGTGACAAGGGCTGCCAGCCGAGTCTAGTGAAGCCACAACCTCGGGCTTTGCAAGGCCGGGTGCGATGGTGGTGACGATCCTCGCCAATCCTTCTTCAATGCCGTGAAAAGAGTATGTACGTGAAGCCATTCTCGTCCTCTGTCTTCCGAAAGAGCTGGATCGCCTGTCCGTCCTGGCAGTAGCCATTTTGCACGCGGCTCTCCTCCAAGACCTCCAACTCGAGAAGAACAGTCACTGGTGCACACACGTCAACTCTTTGGAATTAAGTCATCTTTTCCTTCCCTTGAGAACTTTGCAAGCCTTTTGCACACCTGTAAAAACTTAAAGAATACAACCATAACCAGATCCATATTTTATATACCTCTCTTTTTCACGCCTTCCACGAATGGCTTGTACGCCTTGATGGCTGCCTCGCACAGAGCGTAAAATCCAAAACGCGAACTCTTGCCAAGACATCGGTCAAGGTTTCACACGAGATAACTTTCCCTTTGCCATGTCCACCTCGACTCAAAGCATGAACTTTCACGATCCAGATGCTCGTCTCGGCTTGCGACATTGTAAACTGCAAGTTTTGCTTGTCTTGGCGGCCTTTGTTTGCTTTGCTATAAGTCTTCCTTGCAGATTCGGGATGCTATGAGATTTGTTGAGGTGGTTTCGAATGAACCCGAAAAAGATGTGGTGGCGCACACTTTTGTCCAGCTTAGCAACTCACTTCAGCACATTTTCCAGCACCTCTCACAGTCTCGGTCGCGACTTTTCACCTTACTCTGACCTTGTAACCCAACAGCTCATGGATGCAAAGGGAGTGGCGAAGAAAGAGTTGGAAGGCGAGCTGAGCACGAAAACTATTTAGCTCGAATGACTTCAACAGTCGGCAAGGACAATTTCGAGTAGTGGCTGACAGTATGAACCAGAAGCAGGAGATTGAAGGCTTTCAGTAACCAGGTTGAAGCGATAAGTGAGCATATCAAGATGATCAAACAGGAGAATGAGGAGATCAAACAACAGAATGAGAATCTCAAGCATCTTACTCGCAAGATTCATGTCCTAAGTGAGCAATGTCAACGAGAGTGAGAAGCAGGAGAAGGAAACCTGAGTAGCTTAAGTTATGTTGCTATTTTCTCTTCATTGATATGTAGCAATGCATTTCTATCTTCTTAAGCAAAGCTGTTTGGCAATCCTCCAGCAATTTGCTTTTCTCACAGCCTTATTCGTGACAGCTTTCTGCTACACATGAGATTAGAAACGATTACGGTCGCTTGTAGAACCCAGAAGCGGGAACTTCCAAATGAGGAACCTTGATCACTCCGTACACCATCTTCGTCTCTTGGGCCATGGGGCGCATTGCAACACCATGAAAAGCAACATTAAGAACCACAACCAAGATTGCGACCACTATGATCTGCAGCTTCTTCATCATGGTGAATGAATCCTCCTCCTTGCGAATGAATGAAGACACTCACATTTTTTATAGGGACTAGTTTTGCTGTGTGTACGAAAGTAAATGTGCATGACTTACTTGTTTGACTGACTAAGTCGTAGTCAAAGACACTGTTCTAGTTAGTCAAACACCAGAGTCTAGTCCACGACACTGCTTCAGTCAAACTTTCAGTGTAACAACATCTAACCCAAGCAAAAAGAACTTTAAGAAGAAAAATTCCTGTTATTTCTTCGTTTCTTTCGTGCCTCGAGCTCTCTGATCACGTCACCGATCAAGTCGTCAGGCACAAATCCACTATCGATCATCTCCCTGAGAGCTTCTTCCGCGTCATCTTCAGCTTCTTCTTCGCTTTTCTCTTCTCGATACTGGTGCTTGCAAAGCCCGTCGACGATCGTAGCACACATCTCGCTGCTGGGAATGAATCCCAGCGAGATGAGCTGCTTGAACAGCTCGTGCCCCTGGAAGATCTTCCCGGCCTTGCACAGCGCCTCCACCAAGATCTCGTAAGAGTTCACGTCGGGGATCCGGCCGCTCTCGATCATCTCCTGGAACAAGTCCTTGGCATCGCCCAGCCGTCCCTCGCCGCACAAGCGCTCCAAAAGAATGTTGTAAGTGGAGACGCTCGGGAGGAGCTCCTGCTGCTGCGAGGATTTCATCTCCTCGTACAACCCCCGGGCCTCGTCCACCATCTTCATCTTGCACAGCATCTCGATCACGCACGAGAGATCCACGGACGTGTAGCCAGCCGCTCGCATCTCCTTCACCAGCTCCAGCGCCTCGACAGCGTTTTTCCTCCGGCAGAGCTCCCTCAACAAAGTCGCATACGAGCACTGCAGAGGTCTGGAGCCTCTGGAAGCCATCGTCTTGAGTAGCCGGACGCCATCTTCCACCTTGTCCCCCACCACAATCCTCTTGACGAGCTGGTTGATAGATCCCGCCGATGGCAGCGGCAAGTCCCTGTCCACGAACTCGTCGACGAGCTCCAGAGCCTGCGCTACTTCTCCCCGTTTCGTGAAAGAGTCCAGCATCACCGACGCGATGACAGCATCCGGCTTGCACCCTTGCTCCATCATCCTCCGGAAGAGCCGATAAGCGTCGCCGTATCGACCAGCCTTGTCCAGGCAATCGACGAGCGAGCTGAAGCACACAACGTCCGGCTGGAGCTTCTTCTCCAGCATCTCCGCCAGCAGCTTCTCGCCCTCGTAGATCTTCCCGACTTTGCAGAACGCGTTGATGAGGATACTATAGACGACGTTGTCCGGTGAGCAAGACTTCTGGATCATCTCCTTCTTCACCACCATCGCATCGTCGACTCTCCCGGCCTTGCACAGCCCGAGAATGTACGTGCAGTACGTGACTAGATTCGGCTCGCAGCCCTTCTCCTTCATCTCCAAAAACATCTCCCTCATCTCCTCCACTCCATCCTTCTTCTTCAATCCCGTGAGAAGAACGTTGTAAGCGTACGTGTTTGGAGGACAACCATACTCGCCCTCCATCTTCCGGAAGAGCTGGATCGCCTGCTCCATCTTCCCTCCATCCTGGCAGTAGCCATTCAAGATCCCAATGCATGACCCCAGCGGCGGCGCCACCTTCCTCCGGATCATCTCCTCGAAGAGCTCCACGGCCTCGTCAAAGTATCCATACTTCGCGAGGCCGCAAACAATGTAGCTATAGCTCGAGGCCTTGGCAGTGAATCCTCGAGCATGGATCTCTTGGAAGAGATCGAAGGCCTCTTTCACCCTGTGATCCCTTCCCAGGCCCTCGATGAGCATGAGATACGTCGCGAGCTCCGGCACGACGTTCCTCTTTTGCATTTCGCGAAGCACACCAATCGCGTCGATGGATCGCTTGCCGCGGCAGAGGCCCATCATGACGCAGAGATAGGTGGCGAGATTGGCCGTGGTGGAGGCCGGGAGATCGCGCAAGAGCTTCACGGCGGCATCGAGATCCCCGGCCTGGACGTAGGCGTTAGCGAGGATTCCATAGCTGGAGGCATCGGGCGGGGCGAGACTCTTGAGCTGGGAGTCGAAAATCCCGTGCGCTTCCCTGTGGCGGCCGTTCTTGATCAGCGCCACGAGCAGCGCGTTGCAGGCCTGGAATCCATGGCGAAATCCGGGCAGGCCGGACGCCCACGCGAAGCATTGGAGCGCGGCATTGGCGCTGGGAGACCTCTCGAGCGCCTTGCCCAGCGAGAAGGCGCTGGGCACAAAATCCAGCCCCCGTAGCGACGCATCTGGATCCCTGCTCGACAATGCCGCCAGCAGCGCCGCGCAGTGCTGCGAACCCTCGGGCGCTGCCGCCGACCTGGAGAGAACCGCGAGCGATCGCAATCCCCTTCTCAGCATTTCCCCAAATATCTTCGCGACCCCCAGAAGAACCCTAAAATCCCGATGGACAAGAACGAGTGCCTCAAGCTCATCTTGGCGTGCAAATCCCTCCCAGCCGCCAAGGAGATCGATCGCAAGCTCCAGCCAGACCTAGTTCTTCCCCAAGATCTCTTCCTCCACAACAAGCTCATAGAGATGTATGGCAAATGCGGTAGCGCCCACCACGCCCTAGAAATCTTCCACTCCATGTCATACAAGAACTCCTTTACCTGGGATATGACCCTCTTTGCGTGCTCCAGAAATGGGCATCTGGACGATGCCCAGAGGATATTCCAGGCAATGCCGCGGCACAATGTGGCGTCGTGTACCGCGATGCTTGCAGCATATGCCCACAACGGGCATATTCTCGAGGCCAAGGATGTCTTTGATTCCATCCAGCAACCCGATCTCGCCGCGTGTAATGCCATGCTGGCGGCATATGCCCAGAACGGGCATGCTGAGCTGGCAAGCGCCCACTTCCGCCACATGGCCCAATGGGACGTTGTCTCATGGACAACCGTGCTGTCCGCAGTTGCGCAGGAGGGGCATGTCATAGCCGCGAGGGAAATCTTCGATGACATGCCGTGCCGGAATCTCGTGTCGTGGACGGCCATGATGAACGCCTACGGCAGCACCGGCCAAATGGAGCGCGCCAAGTCGATGTTTGATGACATGGCGCTCCGGGACCTCGTGACGTGGACTGCCATGGTGGCGGCATATGCCCGGGATGGGCATCCTGACGCGGCAAAGCAAATCTTTTCACAAATGCCAGAGTGGAACATGGTATCGTGGTCGGCCCTGCTAAACGCATATTCCCAGTCCGGCGCCACGGAATATGCCAAGACCCTGTTCGAGGAGATGCCGCAGCACAACTTAGTGACGTGGACGGCGCTGCTGTGCGTATACTCCCAGTCCTGGCATCTGGACGAAGCGCGAGAAATATTCCAGAAAATGCCCGAAAGAGACCAAGTTTCTTGGAACGCAATGCTGGCAGCATTCTCGCAAAACGGATCAATCAGGGAATCTCAGTCGTGCTTTGATTCAATGCCGCAGCACAACCCAATCTCTTGGAGCTCGCTTCTCTCAGCATATGCCCAGTCCGGGCATCCCGAAGAATCGAAGAGAATTTTTGAGTCTATGCCGCAGCGAAGCCCCTCGTCCTGGATCTCGATGGTCGTCGCATATGCCCAGGCCGGGCACATCGACCACGCACAACATATGTTCGATGCAATGCCGCAGAGAGATCTCGTCGCATGGAACGCGATGCTCGCAGCGCACGCACTCAATGGTCGCATCGAAGAAGTCGAGCGATTGTTTGAGCAAATGCCCGATCATGATCTTGTGTCATGGAACGCACTTCTCTCCTCGTATGCCCGGAACGGGCATATCGCCACGGCCAAGCGCATCTTTGATCGAATGCCCGAGGAGCGCAACCTTGTCTCCTGGAACTCGATGCTTGCCGCTTACACGTACAATGACCACTCGAGCGAAGCGCTCGATCTCTTTGCGGAAGGAAACGCGATCTTGCTTGACTCTCCGGATCGTCTCAGCTTCGTCTCGGTGCTCATCGCTTGCAGCCACCTGGGACGAGTTTTCCTGGCGAAGAGCTACTTTGCGTCGATGAGTGGCGACTTTGGCGTGCGGCCGGCGAGGCAGCACTACCGCTGCATGGTCGATCTCCTCGGCCGTGCTGGTTTTCTACGTGACGCCGAGAGCCTCGTCGCCACCATGCCGTTTGCTCCCGACTCTCTCGAGTGGAGGAGCTTGCTTGGAGCGTCGAGGAGCCACAGCGATGTCGATCATGGATCTCGAGCTGCGCAAGGAGTTCTCGATCTGGATCCGCGGGATGGAGCTGGCTACGTCCTCCTGGCCAACACCTTCGCCCTGCGAGACAAGCAAAGCTAAGTTACAACGTTTTCTTTCATCCATACCTGTGAATGAATGGATCGAAAGGAGTGTCTCGAGCTCATTGAGTCTTGCCGGACGCTTCCCAAGGCCCGGGAGCTCCACGCTCGGATTCTCTCCAGCGGAGCCAGCCTCAGCTCCGACACTCTCATTCTCAACAAGCTCATCGAGATGTTCGGTGCTTGCGGCAGCATAGAGGACGCTTCCAAGATCTTCGCGTCCATGAACAACTCCAGGAACTCCTACTCTTGGGATTTTATGCTGGCCATCTTCTGCAGGAGCGGTGGAGCTGCAAATCTCTCCCGAGCCAAAGAACTTTACGACCAAATGCCGTCTCGGAGTTTGGTGGCCTCCACAACTATGCTGCTCGCGTATGCCCAGAACGGGCATATCGAAGAATCCAAAAAGGTCTTCGAAGGAATGCCGGGGAGGGACGTGATCTCCTGGAATGCCATGCTAGCTGCTTTCTCCGGTGCTGGAAGCCTGGAAGAGATGGAGCGAGTGTTTGCTGGTATGCCCGAGCCGGACTTGGTTTCATGGACCACCTTGCTCGCTGCGTATGCCCAGAGCGGGATCACCATAGCCGCCAAGAAAACTTTCGATGCTATGCCACAGCTGAATCTCGTTGCCTGGAATTCACTCCTGTCAGCCTATGGAAAGGGTGGTCAGATAGAAAACGCGAGAAGTACCTTTGAGGAGATGCCCGAGAGAGACCTCATCTCTTGGAACTCCATTCTTGGCGCTTGTGCCCAGATTGGTCATACCAAAGAAGCAAACGTCGTCTTTGCTGAGATGCCAAGGCGAGATCTGATATCCTGGACCACCATGCTCGTTGGTTATACCCAGCAGGAGAACTTAGCAGCGGCAAACCGAGTTTTCCAGAAAATGCCCCAGCATGATCTTGTTTCTTGCACCACTGTTCTTGCCGCAAATGCCCGAAACGGTCATCTGGAGAAATCGAAGCACCTGTTTGATCAAATGCCGCAGCGTGATGTGGTCTCCTGGAACGTCCTGCTGACAATGTACGGTGAGCATGAGCTCGCAAACGAAGCAAAGAAAATCTTCAAAGACATGCCGTACCATAGTCTCGCTTCCTGGAACTCACTCCTCTCGGCTCATCTCGTCGAGGGAGATTTCTACTCCGCCAGCCAGCTCTTTTCCCAAATGCCGCTCAAGGATTCCATATCCTGGACGACGATGCTACCTGCTCACGCCGGGAGAAACGATCGTCGCCTAGACACCACCAAGAAGCTGTTTGATACGATCCCATCACCGAGTCTGGTTTCCTGGAGTGTCCTGCTCAGCCTCTGTGCCCGGGAGAGGAACACGTTCCATTTCTTCCATGCGATGAAGCTTGTAGATGTTCCAGACGAGGCTTGCTTTCTCTCTGTCCTGCTCGCTTTCAGTCACGCCGGGGAAGTGTCCGAGTGTAGAGCCAACTTTATGTCGATGATCTCGGACTTTGGCATCCGGCCCACCAAGCAACACTACTGGTGTATGATCGATGTTCTCGGGCGGGCGGGACGCTTGGTTGATGCTCGAGATCTCATCCTCTGCATGCCTTACATGCCAGATGCGTCCGAGTGGCGATGCCTCCTTGCTGCCTGCAGGAGCCACAGAAACTATGAGGACGGAGCACTAGCTGCAAAGATGGTCAAGCAACTCGGCAAGCAAGATGCAGTAACTTACGTGTTCCTGGCAGGCAGCAAATGAATGAAACTTGTGAGAGCGAAAACGTACCTTGGTAGCTTTCACGGTGCTGCTGTTGACAAACTTAGGCGGAACTGAACTCTGCGAGCCACTTCTCGTGCCTTTCAATGTCTACCTTCGTACACTTCTTGAGATCTTGGACAGTGCCTCCTCAAAATCGCACATCGCATTTTCATGTTCTTTATCTCGTCCCTTGTCTTTGCAGCAATCTTTGACCGCATGCCATTCATGGATGCGTCTCGACAGATGTTCGTCAGGTCGTCTCCACTGTAGCCTTCTGTTCATTAGGTTACTTATTTGATATTAACATCTGCAGCCATATGGTGATACCAGGCATTGGAATAAAACAGGACTGAAAGTGCTCTTGTGAGTCTATACCTTCACGATCTTTAAGTTTATTCAAATTAATTCCCATCTGATTTCGTGGTTGGAAGAAATCCTTTACTCCAGCTAAGGTTGTCTGGAAAAAATCAAGCATCCAGAGAGGTCAAACCATGGTCCTCAAGCAGTCGTTTGTCTTGGGACACAAACCACAGGAATATTTTGAGATTATTTTATGGCCTCATTAAAGGTTAGCTTAAAGTTTGCTTCATTTATATCTAGTAGATCTTTGATATAGATCCTGATGTATCATTAATGATGATGGCTATAACAAAAAAGAAAAGACTCTTGATAATGTTATCATGTGGCAAAAATGCTAAATTACTAAAGTTTAAAGCAACATTAAAAAGGTTAAAGATTTTACCAATTTTATTAAGGATTTCCAAATCAACCTTTAAAAGGCATTCCAGCTTTAAATCCCACAGATTATAAAATATTTTCAGAATATTCTTGTGGTTTATGTTATTCTTTTCTCCCTCATGAACCAGCCATGAACAGTAGTCTTGAGAAGCTAAATGAACCTTATAGAAGGGAGTTTGAGGCAATACAACCATGAAGAAAAGATGTGCAAATAGCAATACCAACATTGTAATAAACAGCCACAAAAGAAATAAATTAATACAGTCATAGAAATAAAAGAATGAGAATAAAACAAATGGCTCAAATTATATAATAATACAGCTATAGGACTCAATTCTCCCCTTCTTGAGGAATGTCATTCAACACTTGAAAGCACTCTCTTTATGTCATCTTTAGTTTCCCACATAGCTTCATCTATAAAATATCCATTCCACTAAACAAACAATTTTTAACTTGTCTTTTAATGTGTTTTCAGCAATTTTTGAGCAAAAATATTAGCTACACCAGCCTTTTTAGCATCAATCTCTAAGACCTAGATGATGAACTAATCCACGACATCACCAAAATGTAAACATGCTTCAAATTTGCTCACATGGAACATTGAATGAATCTTTAAACTATCT